TATTTTCATATTTAATATTTGACGACCTGCCTCTCCTCGAGACCAGGTCGAACAATTGTAATACTATCGCCTTTTTGGTCAAATCCGGCTCTGCCAGCTCGTCCAACCATCTGCATATACTGCGCTTTGCCCAGAGGAGCACATCCGACCAAGGGAGCCTAAATAACTGCTATGAGCATGCCTCCGATGTGTTTTTGAATCTTAACATGGGCGAGCCTTTATCTGAGGTAACTGTAACAGCCTACGCCGTACCTTTATAATTACTCTTCTCGCTGGCATGTTAACACCAGCGGCTAACGTTGAAGTAGCACAAACAACACAAATCACACCATCCTGGAAAATTAAACAGGTACATTGCTGCCCAAGATTCATTTGCGAACATTATCATGTGAATCTTGTGGGGAAAAATAGTTGAAGAAAATCTCAAAAGTACTAGATGACATCCCTACACTGTAAGCAGCTTCAATATGTTTCCTTTCTTCATGCGTCAGTCCTGAGTGATGATAAGCTACTCCTGCTAGTATCGTGTTTTCCAATGCTGACGATATCTTAAATGAAAACCGGTAAGATGGGGACTCCTATGACTTGGAAATTTCCTCACCAGTCCCTCACAGTCTTCCTTCATCGATTCAAGAACTTTCTTCCTTTCATCAATTCGTCGTTTACGCACATCCCTGTTATAATATTTCTTAATATTTATGATAGAAAATTCTGATCTTCAGCTTTGAACAAGCAAAAGCTAAAAACTCACTCAGGAACACATCGCGCCACCATCAGCGCTACACTTTCACAGCTTTTTTTGGTGGGACAGAAAATCAAAACAGATCGCCTTGGAATCACCCCAATCAGTAGTTGACACAATCCATCTGGGTCAGCTTTCGACAATCGCTAAAGCAATAGGGTTAGGGGTTGTGTTCCCTACAATGAAGTCTTCCTAAACCTTACATTAGCCGGTAAAACCGCATTGTGCTCAAGTTCGCCATCAGAGTTTATTTTCCACATATTTTGCTCAATTCGTACGTACTCGTGCAACTCGACCTACAATTTCCAGTCATGTGTATATATTCAGAAGCATTTAAAAGTAAGGTCATAGAACAGATGAAAATTGTAGGCACTACGTACCGGTCGAAATGAGGTTGAATAGACATGTGCGCGAAGAAAGCCAGCTAGTTCGCTAATATTCGACAGCGTTGCTGACATTCCGATAATTTGACCGAAACCTGGATCACCGATGTCATTACCCGCGGTAGAAAAAACATGAGATATGAAAGATGGTAAAAATAAAACATTACTATAGTCAGATTCTGATGATAACCTTGTATGACATGTATTTATACAGCAGTTGAATACAACTTGGCGGGTTTCATGAGTTTTTCGAATGCTCTAGGTACAGAGAAGGGGAGTTGCAGTTATAGGAAGTTATACATAGTAGATTAAGAATAAATGATGAAGAATTGGGCATTAATGAATCCCATTCTTAAGATGGACCTCCTCCGACTTCCATTAAGTATCATGGTGCCATCATGATTGTTTGGCCTGTAAATGACTTGCTGTGGCCAAGCCAATGTACAAGTCAATGCTTCAATGCTCCCAAACGAGCCCGGAATCAATTACCCGACCTAGAGGGATCGGTAAACTGGTAATAAACTCCTCTGGAAAAGGCTGAGATAGAGACCGAGGCTGACAGAAGATTAGGTCAAGTGGTGACACCTGGTAAAAACAGCGGACAATGTGACAAAAGGGCTTCAAGCAAGCTTAATAACTTTAGAGGTGTACTCACTCATTGGTATATCCATATGTGACCGAACTCAACTTAATGACTAGGCCCAATAGTGTGAGTTTGAAAAAAAAATAGTAAATCAGAGGAAAACAACTCACCCTTAGTCAAATATTTACAGAGCAGCTGTTCAATGATTGTACCACGGCTACCATCCCCAATCATGTGAAGCTGAATACGAAAATATCTACTCACAGCTGAAATCATCCGGTTGCAAAAACCACAAATATTGTTTTCATGTTCAGCAGCGGGACAATAAATGATTAAAATTTGAGGCAGACAACAAAAATTTAAAGTTTAGAAGAGGAACCGGGGAGAGCATAGAAGACAATGAAAAGCAAAATCAACTGCACCATAGCGCATTCTACCAATAATCACCTCGTCAACTACTACGAGACCGATGCGATCCAGTTCTCCAGTTTCTATCAAAGAGTTTATGAGAGTATTCGCCTGAAAATGATCCTGATACGATATAGCTAAACAGCTTGCCTAATATTAGATGCGCAAAACTGGAAATACCTTTTCTATGGTTGCCACATATATGGACACTTCCTTTCTTCTTTTTATAGGTGGGATTCTACCTAAAGTTTTTATTGAAGCCCAAGTGGAGAAGGGGTAACATATAGTAAAGCTTTACCCTTATTGGCCGCATATTCTTCTATGCGAATTCCGAACGTTTCCTCGAAAACAGATAAGGAGGTAATCTGAAATGCTCAAAAATACTAGGATACCATTAGGCAAATGACCGCAAATTTCACTGTTGGCACAGCTTGACTCACCTTTTCCTGCACAATGGCGACATAAGGCAGAACCAGAATTGAACTTCTTTTATTCACTATAGCTTCGCGTATCATCAAAACCTAGATCATAGGGTAGTCAGACCAAATTATACGACTCATGCAACAGCGAATACGAGATAATCACCTCAGCAATCAAGGTTTTCCCAGCTCCCGTAGGCAACGACACGATGCAGTTGGAACCACGCTGAATCCGATGATCGGAAAGACATTCTTTCTGCCAGTCTATACAGCAAACATTAGATGTAGGGAGGACGAATTGATAGAATGCGCTAACAGAAAAAATAAAAAATATAATATCCTGTTTGAAACTATTACTTCCTTCATGAATTCTGCCTTATTCAAAGCTACTCACCGTACAACTGCTTGATGTTCCTCTTTTCGATGAATGTATCTTTGGCGGCCTTAGGTAAACCACAAAGATCGAAGTCTTCAGATGGTTCCGTGTTTAGTAAAGGTTGTGCAAGACTGCTCAACTAAAAAATAAATAATTAGCCAGTATATTGCGAAATGACCTTGCTGAACTATCTAACCGATAGAGCAGTGGAGCGTCGAGGGGTAGCACTATCTACTTCTTTCCTTAGAGGTGTTATTGCCACGTTTGATCTTCTTTTTTGTTGTCTTCGAACGGGTGTACACCGAGTGGGATTGCCGGAATCCGTCAAAATAACTCAAAAAAAAAACCATGAATATTGTTGGATAGGAAAGAAAGGGTTATGAAGGCATAAAAAGCCGAGAGAAAGACATAAATTGAATAAGAAGATACCATTCCTGGCTGCGATTTCAGTGGCACTTTCGGGGATAGGACTTTGATATGGCTCAGCTGCCTTAGGCGTACATCGAAGTAGCCTACCTTAAATATCAACAGTCTAAAAACTTGAAGGAATGCCCTCGAAGAAATGCGTAATAATGCCACGAGACACTTTTTTTCCTAAGTCTTTTCTAAAGAAAGGTTCCGGCCCCTTGAATAATCAAAAACCAGCCAGGTGCTCCAGTGCTTATTAGGCAAGACCTATCTGGTCTGGTGCCGTAGGTCATTGTCTATACCGCCTTGCTCTGTGCCGCTGCGAAACAGAGCTGCACGGAAAACTGACCTGATTGCGCTCTGACCGTTTGGTGAGTTGCAGGAACAGGTGTCATGAGTTATCAGGTGGCATCTATGGCGAATCTGTCCTCGACCACCTCGTAGACAACTTCGGTTTGCCTGCAACCTGAATCAAAGGTATTCCGAAAAAATGAAAAATATTCAAGAACCGGACGCATCGAAGGAAATCAAGTTCGTTGACGACAGGGGAAACCTCATAGTTAGGTTAACGACAAAGCAAGCAAATAAATTTCAAATAGCAGCTGGTGTCTGCAGTTGCTAAGCGAGAAATTACGTACAAAGTCATTGAATTGACGGCTATTTAGTCATCGTGGGCGCATGGGACGGCATGTGTATTTCGCCTACGTCATTTTTCTTTGACTTCTTTTATTTACCGTTTTGGTTCGTTTTTTAGTCATATTTTGGATAGGCGTATTATGTAGATTTGCAATCGTCTATGCATTGTGTCAATAACAGGCCTGAATTGGAAAGACACGGAGAGCAAGAAAAAGATTTGCGAAATAATGAGACGTTTCTCTTTCAACCATCATAACTTGAGGAAATCAGCGCCTAACTTAGCTAAAAATGCAGCGTTACACCAACGGAAGAGTACTGTTCAATACTGTGTAGTACTTGAGTAGAGACAACTTTAGGTTATTTTGCGTAATACAAGATTACGCAGAATAACCTATAGTAGTTTCTGCTCAAGGTTTTTTTTGGAAATCCCGAGAATTTTTTCAATAAATTGTTCTTTTCCAATTGAAGACACTAAAGGCACTAACCAAAAAGAGTGTTTTGATGATTAGACTCTTTTCGGTGCTTCCATTGTTTGTCAAATCTAGTCTTCCTTATCAAGTCTTTCAAGTTTTTTTTGCCTTTCTTGGCTGCTGACGTTCTCTCGCAGATTTTTTGGCATTACACATAGAGAATGTAAAGGCTACTAGTTTATTCCTAACACATGCTGCGGAAATGGTTGCCATTCAGTCTCCATAGTGATCACATTCCCAGAAAGTTAGTGAATGAGTGATTACCAAGCCCGTTGATCGAGTGTTGTATGTCATAGACTATCACAAATGTCATCACTGTGACACCGTTTTCAAGTCAGTGTCACATTGGAAATCATTCCTCGGGCTTTCATGGGTGCCCGCATGCGAAAATTTTTAGAGTGAGGAGAATAAATTGCAGTTTTCAGGTAGGTTGTTCAAAGGAATGGCATCGTCGAGACGACTTCAAAAGGTTATCGCCTTTGAAAATTCCAGCTCAGCAACTGGAAAGTTCTTGCGTCCTGCTTTATTCAATGTGCTCTTTATTTCAGGAGTTGTCTGATCTGAAGTCGTGCGGTGTCAAAGCTTATGAAAGCGTGGAATACAACGAGTCCAATCTTCTTCATTGGACTGTGCTGCTCGTTCCTGTAAGTTTTTCACGAATTGTCTTGTCGTTGCTTTGGTTCTTCCTATTAATCTTGTTATATATCCTTCTCGATTATTCATTTTTGCAATATTGATTTTGTGTGGCTTAAAATTCACAATAATATATCTTCTGCGGATCAACACAACACTGCACAGCTTGAGATGGTAAATCTGTTCTTGAAATCCCATAGCATCTTGCATAGGGAAAGTTATTGGAATTTCAACCCCCTCATCATTCCTTTCAACTAATTTGCCTGAGTACCGCAAATGGTTAGGCTTTTCTTTCTCAATGTTCTGGAGATAATGCTCTTCGGAAGCAAGCACTGTTGTGTCGTAGGAACTTTCACCTAGAGTTTTAAAAATTCTGCAGAAACGAATGTAAACGCATGCCTTCCTTTTGCAAATGTTTTATCTAATCACGAGTTGCAGGACAAGGAGCCTTACAATAAAGGAGCCTTCAAAGTAAACATTGACTTCCCCGCCGACTACCCTTTCAAGCCCCCGAAAATCACCCTGGCCACCAAGATTTACCATCCTAATATTGATGATAAAGGACAGGTTTGTGCTCATTCGAATCCTTCTGTTGTTTTGATTCAAAGTGTACAGTTGAAGTATTGATCCAACTGAATCTGCTATTTTCGTAACTTCCAGGTTTGTCTTCCCATTGTAGACCCTAATAACTGGAAGCCAGCGACACGAACTGAACAAGGTTAGCATTCTTCTCCATTTACTTGGCATTGGAATAACAAAACATCCACAGCATCTTAGTATATGCGACTTTTCTTGACGAGGGTTTTCGTAGCTTTTGAAGCTTACTTCTTTCCGTAAGTATTAGGTCGGGAGTCTTCTTTAATCTTCCAAATTACCGCACTTCATGCAATCAACTGCAACCAAATGATGCATCTTATTGATACGCACTGGGAATCTAGGGAGAAAACTGACTGAGGGGAAACTGAGAAAATGGAATTGAAAAGAAGGGTCAGGTGACTTGTGAGACCGATATTGTATTTCCCTATTTGGCTTC